GAAAATATTGCATCTTCTGCAGCGAGGATGCTTGGTTTCGTTTTGCGCACCTCGCGTGCTTTTTCTGATATCGGTGTGTACAAGACCCTATTTTCGACCTTTGTATTGTCCAAATTGGAATATGGCTCTGTAATTTGGTCGCCACATTATGTGTGTCATAGACTTATATTGGAGAGAATTCAGAGGAGATTTCTCATATGTCTCTATATGTCTCTATATTCTATATGTCTCTACGCCTGGACGGATCATACCCGGATCGTGGAATGGATTACGCATCCCTGCTGCGGCGTCACAACTTTTCTGTACTAGACGTAAGAAGAGATGACCAGTGCATCAAGTTTTTGCAGAAGTTAGTGCAAGGTGAATTGGATTGTGGTTGGTTGTTGTCGCGGATTGCAGATCCAATGTTTTAGCCAACTTCCCGGTGCAGAGGATGTGTAAACTAACTAACAATCAATAATAGTGTAAGAGTGTTTATGTGAATTATATTTGTTTTATGGCATGTGTTATTTCTTATTTTCTTTTTCTTGTAATATTATCCTGTAATTGATCTTTGTTGGGCAATAAAGTGAATTATTATTAACTCCGAACTCCTTCGCGACTTGAAAGTAGCATCGGTGTCATCAGAAATTGCATCATTCGCATCTAAACAGGAGAAGAGAATGCAAGATCATCCCAACATCGAGGCCATCCAGCTTCTTGACAACGAAACAAGCCGTTCGATTTAGTGACCTAGTGCCCTAGTCGATTCAAACGCGAGCAATAGTGCGGAATTATAACAAAAACAATAATACCCTAAACGTGTGTTCCGCGTATCGCAGTGTTTTGGTCTTAAAACGGTAAAAATATGACAATATTTATCTATATTATGGGTAAAGCAGACTGGACCACTGGGAAAAGCTCCAAACATTATCTATGTATTTAAGTCTATCAAATTGATTATCCGTGAATAATGATTATTAACCGCTATTATTCTAGTCATTGGTAGTCGTGGACAAAAATAATTAATCAATATTTAACCAAAAAATTATTGTATAATCAAACCTTTATAAGTAGCCACCGATTTCATCAACGTTAAAGGAATATCCGGTGACCCACAAACCATCGTCTCCAATTCATATGCACTAAACAACGATAAAAGTGGTACAGGAACAACCTTCGACATTCCATCACGAACGGCGCGAACTTGCTCATCAAATTCCCGCAATCGAAATTGCAGCGCTAATTTTACATACTCCAATCGATTCTCGTGCGTGATCCTTTTATAACGATTACTTAACGGGACATCAATTCCACATGCAGACGGCGTCGAAAACGGCATCTCCAAATTTTGAAACAATCTTTCATCAGCCGTCATATCTCTAATACAGAGTAAACCAGGCACGTAATCGCGGTCGACTTCCGTTAAATCGCCCGGTGTCAAATCCATCCCAGATAATTGCTTCCAGACGGCTTCCGCTAAATTTAAACTAAGGGGTGAACCAGTTCGGATTGCAATTCCCATTAGAACGCCTAAGAATCGGAACATATTTAAGTGGAGGCAGGATTTTGAAGATGGATTTAAAAGGTAGCAATCTCGGTTTGTTCCAGCTTCGTCTCGCCCGTTAGGGGTTGGGATTAATAAGGGAAGGGAGCCGTTTTGGAGCTCGTCGCACATTTCAGCGATGCTTTCACTATAACCACCACCGCAATCATCCACACTTTCACCTAGATTCAAAAAAAAAAAATTTATCAATATCCGAATTAATTAATAGAACATTTTGTTATTAATTTACCAACAAATTTAACTTTCCATACTCGATGCGGCAACGATAAAGCCTCCGTTGTTAATAACGTCAATTTACTAACCATTTGACCAAAAACTGATTTCATTCCATCAACCCCCGCTAAACCACCCCTCGATCGCGACCTCTTCACCTGAATCCGATTCAATTCAATAACAGGTCCATGTTGTTTATCTCGAACCATCGTAGCTTGCACCACCTTCCTAAAGGTCGCCTCTTTAATATTATAAATCAATTGATTCCTCAATTCGTGTAAAGATCCCGGACCATCAATCGGGAACATTCCGATACAAGGACAAAAAATCTCCGAAAAATGATGCAGGAGCACCAACCGCCGATGTAGCGTTACCGCTGGTATATCGCGGAGTAAATCGTACTCAACCGGAACTTGAGTGGGTAAACGGGCGCCGCAACCGGAAGGATTATTCGTTGACCATGCTAAAGTGTGGGCGGAACCGCATGCGACGTTGGTGATTTTTTTTCCTTGAAGCGCTTGGACTAATCGTGGACGTTGTATTGCGTTCGTGGTGCCATCACCAAGTTGACCCTCGTCGTTATCACCCCAAGTGAAAACTTCGCCTTCGTCCGAACACGCAACGCAATGAAGGGATCCGGTTGCGATGCTGATTATTTTTTTACCTTGGAGTGCGGCTACTTTGCGTGGTCTGCGAACGTGGTCGTCTGGACCGTGACCTAAACGGTGGTAATCACCTTTACCCCTTAAAAAATAGAATCAAAAATCAAGTAGAATTTTTATTGTTATATCAAACGGAATTATTACCATGTATAAACACTTCCTGATCTAGTTAATGCGACGGAAAATTGTGATCCGCATTCAACTTTGATAACGCCTAGACCGGCTAGGCTTTCGATCTTCGTCGGTACCTTACATCCATCGGAACCTCCCCTGCCCAATTTTCCGTAATCCCCATCTCCCCAAGACCAAACGTTGTCGTCGTCGGTGATGCATAAAGTTTGAGCATCTCCGGAACCACATGCTACGTCAATAACACGATAACCAATTAAAGCTTCAACCTAAAACATAAAAAAAAACAATACTTTTAAATATCAAGATTTATAATAATAATAATCGTTTTATTGTTTATAATTTACAATATTTCTCCAGTACAATATACAGGGCGCGTCATGTCTAATTTGAAAACGGCTGAAGATATCGTTATGAGCCGAAACACGTCGATTTTTATTTTTTGTTAACTCAAATAATTTATTAATTAACTTTGTTTTTTTTAATGGAACGCCCTTAGATGACAACATTTTCTGATAGAGCTAGAAAATACGAATGCAGTGATACATTGGTTAATTAGTTTTTATGATACCTCTTAGATTTCTAGCAGGACAGGCCACCAGGTAAATAACAAGTGGTATGGACATTGCTACGCGGTCTTACGGTTGTTGATATTTATCTGGTT